AAGTCATGCAGGGTGTCAGAGGCAGAGCAGAGACTGAAAGTCAGATCTTAAAACACTATGTTCTGTTACCTATCTTGATTGGGACAATTTCACAAGTGTATACATATGTAAAATGTCACCAATTGTACACTTTAAATATGAGTCTTACTGCAGGTTAACTACACTTCAAAAAAGCACACAGACCCACTACTATACTTCCCTATGCCAAGTTTTCAGTTCTATCTCATAGAGTTGTTGTAAGGAATAAACTAGTTAACATATTTAAAGACTTAGAACAGTGCTTGGTATAGAGTAAGCACTCCTGAAATGTAAACCGCATTATCACTATTAAGATGTTAGGATTCTGCCCTAATGATCAGTTTGGAGAAATGTAATGAAAAGAAGACTGAGCAGGATTTGGGGTCAGAAACTCCAGATCATAGTTCTTGTTCTTGGACAATCTCTTTGAGTCTCAATTCTCTGTAAAATAAGTGAGTTAGCTGCACAAGATAATCTCTAAAGGGGCTTTCCAAACTAAAGATTTCAGACATGGACTAGGATCAGAGTTGTAGGAATGGAAAAGAAGGATGCATATAGAACCCTTAGGGAAGAATTGATAAGATTTAAGAACTGGCTAGATATGCAGAATGATGGAAAACTATGAACACAAAGGTTTGAGCTTTGGATAACTCAAGTTTAAATAAAAAAAGCATGTTGACCCAACAGACATTTACTTATTATTTTAATAAATTAGTAGGTTCTACATGGAAATGAATATTCATGACCTTCTGGACCAAAATGTCAAAGAGTACATTTAAAATGTATGATAAAACCAAAATCTCTTCTCATGAGGTTTTTTTAATGCTATATTAAAGTGAAATCCCTATAGATTCATATGGATAACTATAATAAGTATATTTAGTATATTTAATGACATTGATTCCAAAGTATTGAATTGATTTAAAAAAATCAATGCATACATCAGTCACCAAGAAACTATCTCTTGAAGAACTATTTCAATGTGGAAACCATCTAAGCCTAGAGTCACAGAGCTGCCTGTAGATGTTACAGTGGAATCTCGGACAAAGCATTTTAACCTGTTTTCTCTTAAACAGTGACTTCTTCATAAGCCCATCTTCAAATATCAAAACCTCAGTATTACATCTCATGCACTAAATGGAACATGTTTTCAGTACCAGATGCCACAATAAATGACTGTATGTCCTTAACCAGTCTTCAGAGAATCATGGTTTCATTAGTATGATATTCAAAAGAGTGCTTTAAAGTGCACTGAGGAGCAGACTTTTCAAGATTCTAATTCACTCTTTTCATAGATGTGATCAGTCCACCAAAGTTATGCTGACATTCTGATGGGCTCTATTCCACTACACTGCACTGATGTAACATTCCTGGACAAAAACATAAAGATCACAGTTGCTTATGTTTCATAGACTGAAAAAAAAATCTTGCCAACTTTTTGATGATCCTTCAAGGGCAACATTTCAAATATAATATTCTTCTCTGGATAGTGAGCAATATTTCAGTTGTAACTGACTGCCTGGTCAACATTTGGGTCAAATCCCAGAACATTTTTAAAAATAAAATTGTTTATGAAATGTTGCAGTTTAAGGCTATCTGCAGACTTATTTAGACATAGCCAGAATGGACCAATTTATGACTAGATAAAATGAAAAATGTCGTTAATTAGCCTAGAACAGCAACATAAAAAATTCTTAGTTGCAAGGCATAGCAAATGATATGCTGAAATACACTGCAGAAAAGAACTGAGACCACTTGGGGAATGAGTCACATTTTCCAGATATCCTAGTTAACCATTTCTGTTTAGGAACTAAATTCTACCTCTTGGAATTCTCTCTAAAACACGTCATATGGTTCCTATCTCTTAAAATTGTACATAAAGAAGGGGTTTTTTTCTTTTCTTAATACTTAAGGGTCATCATTATGAATACTAGTCACTGAGATGTGGTAAAGGTGTAGCCATAAATGTAGATTTATGTAATATAGGATAAAGAGAAGAAATATGGCTTTGCCTAAAGCAATTGCATCAACCTTGATTTCCTTTACAAAAAAAGAAAGAAAAACTCCCAATGACACCTTGTTTTTGGTTCATTTACCAATTTTCTCTAAGAGTATAATGAAACATAGAAAACAATATAATATGCTACATAGCATAACGTAATGACCTTTTTACAAAGTTAAATAGTGGGCTGAATCCTGATGCCATCTCCTTGCAAATGCTTTCACTATATTCTGGAAAAATCAACTTATTTTCCCATTAATATCAGTAACATTCAACTCATTCCTGGCTTTTAAAATTTCACCCAGTTTTGATTTGCAGACACACACTACTATATATAAAACAGATAAACAACAAGGTCCTACTGTACAGCACAGGGAACTATACTCAATAGCATGTAGTAACCGATAATGAAAAAGTATATAGATATATGTGTGTATAACTGAATCACCACGCTGTACACCAGAGACTAACACAACATTGTAAATGGGCTGTATTTCAATTAAAAAATCAAATGAAATAAGTAATGGTAAAACACACACACACACACACACACACACACACACAAACTTGACCCAGTTTCATGAACTAGTAGCTTATCCCAACTCCTCCTTCTCCCTTGCACTGTTTGTTTATGGAATGTATCTCACTTCATTTTAAAAATATGAGATGGCATGAATGGGGGAAGATTTAGTCTACACATTTTTCATGTTACTAAAAATAGAAAGTAGACAATGATGTCTGCTAAATTGGGCATCAGGTCTTAATTTTCTCCAAGTCTCACCTCATATTTCACTTTGAAGAGAACTCCACACCTAGGCGATGCCATTATGAGAAGATTCAAGGTCTCATATGGTATCTGGGTAGGATTAATTTTTTCATAACTTCTGCAATATTTCGCTTTTTGAAAAACTCTTGTATAGAAGTTAACTCTGATAAAAACTGCTATCGAGATCAAGGCTAAATAAAGGGAGTTCTGCAACTTCTCCCTTAAAAAGTGAATGTAGAAAAGGCTCAATAAATGTTGGCTATCACTATTCAACAAATATGTAATATTTATTATTTTCTAGGCACTTTGCTAAGCAGAAACAAGTGAAAAGTCAGCCCTCAAGGAGCTCAAAACCTAGAGAGTTGCTACAGTCCTAATGAAAATATAGGAAAATACAGATGGTTCAATAGCCTAAATATGCTCATAAAAGTCTTTTGTAATCCAAAAAGCATTAAGCTAAAGACTTTTGCAGGAAAAAGAAATATTGCTTTTTGGGGGAGGGTCTAGCTCAGTGGTGGAGCACATGCTTAGCATGCACTAGGTCCTGGGTTCAATCCCCAGTACCTCCATTAAAAAACACATATATACATATATGTAGTTTTTCAGTTCTGTTACTTCATTGTATCATTGTAGATGTACTGAAATATCACTGCATAGAAAAGCAAACTAACATTTAATAAAGCAATCTGCTACCATATGTCAGATTTAAATCTCATAGCAGAACAAATATTCTTTTACATATACAAGGTTTAAGCTCACAACATATATATATATATTTATGTACAAATCTGATCTAATAAACCCTTGCTTGTTCCACAGCCATACATTATCTAAAATCCTGAACAAATATAAACTAAGTCCAGGTATAAACAACAGAAATGAATCAATTATACTGACTGAATAATATTTTCCTTACTTATTCATTTTAAATCATGCATAGATGTTCATTTTATCTAAGATTAACATGTGTATATGTATTTCTGTCTTAGATCAAAATAAAACTTGAGAAACTAGTTTCTAGCTTAGTAATATATTACTGCACAAATTAATGTCCTGTCTAGTGTATTGTGACCTAGCTTGTTACTATACAGATGTATCTTCAAAGGAAACAGACTCTAGAAACGTACAGGAGCTTCAAGTACACACCCCTCCCCACACACACACACACCCCCACACACGAGCTACCTTACACCTTCATGCGTGTGCTTCCTCAATCAAGCGCAGATCACTGCTTCTCCACCCACAGTGATGCTAACCACCCCCCAACCCTATACACACATGTGCACACATATACACAATGACTCCATACTCCCACCATGTGAAAGCAACACAGCCTTTGGAAACAGGTACACCTAACATCAGATCCCTTCTCTGAAACTCAGAAGTTCATTTCCAAATCTAAGTTCATTTGTGTTCTGTATTCCTTCACTGCAAAAGAACTTGTTTTTGTTTTGTTTGGCAACTTTTCCCAGAAATAGTCATTCTGAAATCCCAGGGAAATCGAAGTATCCAAGCTTTCTTCCCTTTCTCAAAATGCTTCCCTAAAAAACATAAGGGGTATCTGCAGCAAAGGCATTTTACATGGGTGTGTGGTTTATGATTATTTGGCAAATTTTACTTTTATATTCTAGGCACAATTCTATATGTACATTATATATTACAGTAAAAAATAAAACAAAATGCAAACATGCCTCTCTACCCAATGTCCTCCTCAGTAAAATGTATTTTCTACCAAAAGTTAAAAAAAATCTGAATCCTTTCTTCATGTACTCAATAGGGTATAAGATAATTTCCTATTCTGCATGTAACAATTTACTCCAGTTCAAATTAGTTACGAATTTGTTTTAATAAAGGGAGTTTACATTTGTTTCTAATGAGGCTTCTTGTATTCAAGAACAGAGAAAATACTTAAATACCTTCAAGTAATCTGTGATAAAATCATGGTGACCTGCATAGAACAAATCACTCTTTTTAAGTAGGTAATATAAATAACAGTGATTGCCTTTTTAAAAATTTAAAGACAAAAAAGAAATCCTATAATCTGACATCCTAATCATTTGTGATATTCCAAATCCAGAAAGAATGGAGAAAAAAAGAAACCACCTCAAACAAAAAGTTACAATCAGCTGTCAAGGAATAAATTTAAAAGGAATGTCTCAGCTAAGAAAATAGAAAGGCGCTACATGATCGCAGCAAACAAAACCTGCTACATACCCTGACCAACACAGTCTTCCGCAAGGGCAAAAAGCTTAGGAGAACGTTCCTCAAGCAACTGCTGGTGAATATTCACACATCTCAAAGTCCACCACGGCAAGCTCTAGAAAAGAAAAATACCCAGCTGAAATAAAAGGACCTTTGGGAAAAAAAATTTTACATTAATTCAAATCAATTTTTAGAATTCTTTTTTACACTTGTGAGATCAAATTTTTTCTTCAATAAACTTACCTATCTATGACATCAGAAATAAAACCCAAGGTCACTGCTTGTGTCTTCCCCAGGAATAACACCTCTCCTCTGTCCTTTCAAAGCCTTTATTTGTAGCCAGCTGGGATTCCTGATACCATTTTGAACTTAACATTTCCTCCTCTCAAATGTTGATGCAATCATCCCACTCTGCTGTGGCACTCTACCAGCACCATAATCCAACACCAACAATTCTGGGAGGCCTCTCACAAGAAACTCCTGTGGGATGTTTTTTTCCCTCTTCTCACCTTCCAGCACTTTCTCTGTACCTCCCCTTTGCAAACACATTTCATCGTATTCGTGTATGTCATCCCTAGCCTGCAATGTTGTCTGCCATCCATCCGACAAGATGAGAAACCCAGTCTTACTCATCTCTGTATCCTCGAAGCAATGCATGTTGTGCAAACTACAAGGTAAGAAATATCTCACATTCAGATATTGCCTACACTGGGAAGATCTTGTCCACACCCCCTTCCATGAAGCCTTCTCCCACCAGGAGGGCACACACTGGTCTCTCACTTTTCTGAACTTGTACACTGTGCCTAGAAGTTAGCACCACACCAGAGAGCTCTTGGTTTTCAGGTGTGTCACTACCTGGTCCGTATATTTCTGAGGGTAGAGACTGCATTTTATACATTGTTTTAACTACTGCACAGACTGAGAACACAATAGCTTTTTCTCTGATGTTTATTCTTACTTATCAACACATCCTTATTTAAAAAAATAATAAACCCAACAACAACGACAACAGGCCAATACAGAAGGATACACCTTGAAGATACAAGTCTCTTCTGCCTCAGCACCATCCTCCTTCCCCAGAAAAATCCAAGACAGAGGTTGGTATTCTTCTGGATCTTCGTCCATGCACATGCATGTGTGTGTGCAAGTAATAGTACTGAATATTTTTGATAGGCTCATTAAAGTACAAAGTATGATCATGCATTAAATCACCTAAATTAATTACAACTAAGTTACTTTGAATTCTATTACACGAAGGTATGAGAAATTAATTGTCCTGTTTTTTACAAAAGCAATACCCACTAATAGGAGATCATGCTTAATCATCAAAAGCATTTTCTTTTCTTTTTCACTTGAACTTAATTTCTCCATCTGATTAAGGGGTAAAATTGCCTGCCTCCCTTCTAAACTGCTACACAACGATGCAATCACAAGTGAATTTTGACTCTATGACAAAAGCCTTTCTAATTATTAACGCTGTTTCCTCAGTCTATGTAAGGAAAGGTAGAATTATCTAATAGAAAGATGTTTTGCATCATTTTTAATTTAATTCTCTGAGGCGTTGCCTCATTTTCATTCTTTTCCTATCACTCGGCTAATGAAGTCAGTCTACATTTCAATTAGCTGTCCCCTATCTGCTGTCAGCAGTGAGTGAGTCAGAGTTGGCAGCATACTCTTCCCTTTTCTAGACAAGGGAATTTAGACAGAGCCGGTCAGAGAGACTACCCTTTTAAGAGAACATACACAGAAGATGCTCAACTCTTAAAAACCAGACCTATAAACTAACTCCTAACCCCAAATCTTCTACGGGAGAAGGGCAAGTGTGACACAGATAAAGAAAGCTCAGTCTATTTTCTACTAGAAAATAAAAGTGCCTTGTTCTATTCGCCAAGAATTGCTTAATAGAAAATTTGAGGCATTAATAAAAAAGGAACTTGAAGCCTTGCTTTAGACAGTTCCTAGATTCTGTCTCCTGATTACAGCACTTAATACAGAATGCTCCGATTGAGAAGTCACACAAGTCAGTAACCTCCCAGAAGGCAGGGAGCTTAATGTACTCAAAAGAAACTCAATAAATGTTTGCCGAGTTATTCCACTATATAAGTAGGGAAACTGATATTCAGAGAAATTCACTAGCCTAAGGTGACACAGTTGGTAAGTGGCTAAGCCAGACAAATTCTGGTCTGATTCCAAAGCCAAGACTATTTTCATTCAACATTTACATTATTACCAATACTAGTCTATACACTTCACAGGTTAGGGGGTAGGGGACAATCATCTTCCTGATACATTCCTTAGGAGTCAGTCTATTCAAAATTAATTTAAAAGGTTAAGATTAACTTGGATAAGTGTGTGACACTTCTTTATCATTTTATTCTCATTTATCAAAGAAGTCTTTTTTTTCTTACTTAATTTTATTTTTTTCAAAGAAGTCACTTTTAATCATCATCATATTGAGAATGATATATTAAAGACCCAAAGGGAAAAAAAAACAGTAACGTTTCAACTGAAAGACAAGGTTTCAGCACAGAACGATCTCTGCATGCTGATGTAGAACAAGAAAATAGGATTTTAAGCAGATGTCGAAAGTTCTTAAGCATCTGCCAAGAAATTCAGGTAACTAATTTCTCCAACCCTACCAGGTATCACATCCACATCCAGTATTTAACATGTTTATTTGTTCTCCTGAGCTGTTGCTAGTACATGTACCTTTTCCCAAATGATGCTTAACGTACTTGCTGATGAAAGTTTTCCACGAACAAAACTTCAGACTGTATCGCTAACTCATTAATGACCATCAGTCTCACTAGAAAGAAAATAATCCATTTGGCAGCCTCATGCCTTGGTGATACTTTCTTAGAGACAAGTACTACTCAGTCTATAAGATTATTTAACTCAGATCAATTTGGAAAACATTTTTTCACTGAAGCTAACATCACTAAAAAAAAAATCAAGGATAAGGCCTTCTACCTGCTAGGATATGTTGAAACCGATCCATTAAAAACACTTCTGGTACAACTGATTCCAAGCCCTCTGGCTCTCAGGAGAGTTGCCAAAAGAGGTATGATTCCCTTCTTACCTCTTCTGTGTCTAAACATACTGCTTAGGAAAGTAAGCCTTTATACGGTACAGATCAAGGCCAGTTTGCCCACAGAAATACTGTGTTCCTTAAACTTTTTCAGCTAACACTTGTAAATTAGGAGAGTTCACAAAACATTTAGATTCACTATTTCTGGAAATTTGAGGTCTTCAGGCCCAAGCTGCAGCCGTCAGAACAGGAGTCAGACAGCTACAGCCTGTGGGCCAAATCCAGCATGCCACCTGTTTACCTACAGCCTGAGAACCAAGAGTGGTGCTTACATTTTAAATCACTGCAAAACAAACAAATAAACAAACAAACAAACGGAAAATATTTTGTGGCATGTGAAAAGTATATGAAATGTAAATTTCGGTGTCCCTAAATAAAGCTTCATTGGTACACAGGCACACCCATTCATTTACATTCCACCCTCAGCTGCTCTCACAGTACAAGGCAGAGTTGAACAGTTAATTGCACAGAGCCTGCACACTGCACAGCCGACAATCTTCACTAATCCTCAAAGACTTTCCTTGCATCTCTCTTGTGGTTTCTGTCCCCTCCCACTGCATATTAGCTTCTGTGAGTATGGGTGCTTTTCTCACTAATTTATATGGGCCCTAAAGACACCATATGACAGATATGCTCTTCTAAATCCAAACCACATCATGAAACAAAGTAGGATGTGAGCCAAGAAACAGTAACTAAGATGCACAGCAAGTGCTTTATTTCTGGCTATTACTAAGCATCCCTACAGGAATTTCATAAAAGACTCTGAAGGATGTTTTTAAACCTATGTGTATTATTCAGAGAATGAACATTTACACATGTGCACACATACATACAACACATATACAATCCTATTAAAGAGGCTTGGTGTCTCATTTTATATTAGATGAATCTCTGGAGGAGTGACAGTTTTTGCTTATTTTCATCAGATTTTAAAATTAAATATCTAAAGAAGACTTAGAAAACAAATATACCAAGACACTGTCAGCATCACATCTAAAGTTTGAGGCTAATCAGCACAAGAGACACACCTGAGTATGAATCTCCTGCTCCTTTTCTTCCCTTACCTGAATAGCTGTCAGTTTATGTCTTACAGTTACTAGGATAATTCGTGCTAACAACAGCAGTATGGGCTTCGAGGTCAGGCTGTAGATCGATTCACCATCTAGAACGAGCAGACTCAGAACAACTGCATCCAGTCCTCTGACCTGGAAAAAAAATTTGAAGCTAAAATGATATAACTTAACAAAATATTAATTTTTATGTATCTTACAAGATACATACTTTCCAGTTAATCAGCTTTGAAACAGGCACTGGCCTGTTACAGAGCAACTGGCACTGGACCAACACAGCATCATGAATGCTCTTAGCAATCTACAATTCCAGCCTGCCCTGACACATGGCCACCCATCCGCTCGCACTTTAGAGGAGCAGGGTAATCAAGAAAGCACTACTACTGAAGAGGCATGATGACTTCATAGATTTACATACAACAGAAAGTAATCAAAGTGATCACTTTCAGATGAGAAATATGACTACCTGTTTTAGCACAAATTTAGATTATTATCTTCTGAATGAAATCCCTGAAGATAAACAAATGATTTAACAGGACAACAAGTAACAAATTATACAAAGAGATTGTCCATGATATACTACTTGAGTAGCATTATCTCTGAAGATCAAAGCCAGGGGTTGGTTACTAAACCTCCTACTCTTCAACTCTAAGTTCTCTGGAAACATCATCAGTAAGGCAAATAATAAATAAATGAGTGAATGCATGAATCAACAAATAAATAAATTTTTCTTCCTGGAGTTAACTTGCATCATCATCATTAAAAAATTAAATAGTTTTCTATCTCCTGCTTAGACAAAGCAGCCTCTGCCTAACGCTGTGCTGACTTCTAAATGTGCTTCCAGAGGTTTTGAGAAATGGCTCATTTCTAAAGAGGACTGATTAATTAAATTAAAACAGACAAAACAAAGGTTATATCTCCCTGAGGGAACAATTCCCCAGTCAAGAGAGCACAGACATATAAAAATATCTATCAGAACAGTGAAAAAAAAGTCACTGGAAGCTTGAGATAAATTTAATGCAAAAAACCAGATTACTAGGAGATCAACTTTTGTGTGTAAGAGGTGACCTACTCAGACATGGACCCTCAGTGCTATTGTGCTGAGGCTGGTTAGCACCAGAGGCCGGAAAACTGCTAAAAGTGCCAATGCCGCAAGTCAGAGGCAGGGAAAATTAATTCGGCTTCGGTGCCTATACTCCATGACCATAAAGTATATTCACAAATATCTGTGCTTCACAAGAACTAAGAAACATAAATCAGCACAGGAGAATGACAGCTAGAAAATTCTGATGTGCCACTCCCTAGTTTAAAAACTTCAACTCCCTGTATCTTCCATATTCTCAGATTACTGGCAAAGCATATAAATTGAATAATCATCTCAAAAACAACCTGATATTACTCAGGAGAGCTGAACACGCATACACCCTAGAGCACAGCAACTCCACTCTCAGATACACGCACCACAGCAAAGCTTCCCCGTGCTGGGAAGGGTTTACAAGGGTGTCAAAATAATGATCCCCTCAGTCCTTGGGGTGCCCAACTACAGCCTGGGCACCAGAAGAAACAGCCTTCTCCACTTAGCGTACTACACCAAACAAACAGTACCCTTCTTAAGTAGGATGTGCTTGGAACTCTTGCAAGTGACTCCCATAGGATGCGTTCCCAACAGCATTGTACATAGTATATTGCAAAAAATGGAAATAACTCATCTGGCCATCAAGAGTAAAATGGATACATAAATTGTGGTATATTCATACAGTTGGAATACTATACAAGAGTAAAAAATGAGTAATTGTATAACTGCAAAAATATACCACTGAGCAAAAGCAAGTCACAGAAGAGACCAGCTCAAAGGCTCTCCCCAGTCCAGGCCCCCGATGGCCACTGTGATTGCAGAGGGACTAAACATCAGGGGAACGGCAGTCAGGAAGCCCTGCTCTACAACACTGATGTCGGAAGCCAGGGAACTGATTTAGCTGACCAGGGAAAGCCTAATCCTAAAAATGTAATGGGAAAGTACATCTCCAGGTAAGTGATGCATATGTTTTTAAGTGCCAAAATCTTAGGGATTTTATTTTAACCACTGTGGATGAAAATTTCTGTAAAATACAGATTAAATTCCCTTCTTAGACATAAGATACGGAAGAGCTTTTAACCTTTCAATAATGATTTAGGGCCAGCATTATGAATCTCAGTTTTTCTCTTACAATATAACATCATGACTCAGTAAACTGACATGCACAGAAGTAACTGTTACGGCTTCAGATTATGGCTGCCTCTGTGCTTCTATTTCTACCCACCAGTAATTGACTCTTATCTCTAACAACTCATTCTCTGTTCATTTGCTACTTCTAATTCTGAGAAACTTGGGAAGAGTAAACATGTGCCTTTAGCTGCATAAGCTCTGAGTGCTAAGGGGCCCTTTTTTCCAGGCTGAGTGACTGGTAGTTATGCTCCAGTTCTCTGGGGTGTCCGGGTAAACCAGTTACCATACCTCATTTTAGTAGCACGTCATACTCACCAGGCCCTGTGGATATGTTCTCAAACACTCTGGAGGAATTCAAACTGCACACTCTACTGATGACCTACCAATGCAGGTCAATAGTGTATCTTCACATACAGATAATAAGTCGTTATTACCATGGAGCAACTCTGCACCAGACACTTTAAGGATATACAAATAAGTGTATTTGTTATATAAAGGAAACTGTCCCTGGGAATTGTTAAACACAGCAGCAAAACTTTCCCGAAACAAAATCAAACAGGTCTCCAGATTTGCTGCTTTGCCAGAGCAGATCTTTATGTAACTGTGGTAACACATGCGGTTGCCTGCACTTTCACAAAAAGAGCAGCGATCAGAGCTCCACAGAGTGCAGACTGTCTGAAGAGGGGTCTGAGACCGACAATGGAACTTTTGGAGTTATGTGAAAATCTGATCCATGAATAAGCATTCTTAGTAGGTGTGATACAAG